CTGTCACAATCAGAATTCATCATTTAAAGCACCTCCCACCATTCCTTCCTTAAAAAAAATTCTAAACTTAACAAGCATCAAATAAAATGATCATTTCTTTATATACTGCAGAACAGAAGGAAAAAATTCAACACAACTGTGAATCTCTATTATGTATAGCTCTTTTAAAGCCTATAATAAATTCAACATGTAACTTAACATGTAAAGATGTCCTGCTTGTTCATGATTCCTTCTGGCCTTCTTTCTGATCTTTTCACTAAAACAAACAAACAACAAACAAAAACCTAAACCCCTCCTTCCTCCCCTACTGACCTAATCAAAAACAAAAGCAAAACCCTTGTAATAAATATGCATACTCAAGCAAAACAATTCCCACATTGGTCATGTCTAAAAAAATGTTCGTTTCGTTCTTTCTCTTCAATCTATCACTTCTCTGTCAGGAGATGGGCAGTAATACTTCATCACCGATACTCTGGAATGACGGGTGATCATTACATGGATCAAAATTTTTAAGTCTTTCAAAGTTGTTTTTCTTTACATTATTGTTACTGTGTATACTGTTCTGGTTCTGCTCATTCCACTCTGCATCAGCTCATATAAATCTTCTCAGGATTCTCTGAAGCTGTCCCTTTCATCATTTCTTATGGAGACCCCGTTCATTTCAAGCACTTAAGCAAGCAGATTCTGAAGGGGACTTAATGACCATTGACTCTAACCTCCTCATTTTACAAATGAAGAAACTGTGGCACTGAGTAACTAGATCTAAGTAAGCTAGTATCACACAGCTAGAAAGCATGAGGCAGGATTTGAAACTAGGTCTTCAACTCCCAGCAGCCTTGAATCATTCTTTTTACAACTACCATGCCATATAATCACATCACAATTACTCTACCTTCCAGAAGTGCCTTTTCTAATTATTATTAGGAGCTGGAAACTTTTCCATCTTCCTCTTGGGTTAAAGTTTAAAAGTTGAGGTGGAAGTCCTCAGAACACTTTGTACTCCTTCCCCTAATGTGTTTACTCAATGTCTAGTTGGAGTTTTCCATTTTGAACATATATATCACTAAATGCGACTCTCTGAGTCTTTCTCTTCACTTTTCTGTGACTGCTATCTGCCACTCTCAGAGCATCTCAGTAGCATCTGTCACCAAATATGTGCCTTCTGGGGCGGCAGTATCTCCTGAGAATAATGACAAACCCCTAGAAGTGTACCATTTGGGGTACAGTTATAATTTTTGTCTCCAAACCTGGCCAAAGATTCATCTTCTGGTGACATGACTGTGGCTGTAACTGAAGGGGGGACTCTTTCTTCTTTTTGTTCTTTTTTTTTTAAATATAAATTTATTTCTTTTTAGTTTTCAATATTTACTTCCACAAGATTTTGAGTTCCAAATTTTCACCCCATCTCACCCCTCCCCCCACCCCAAGATGGCATGTATTCTGAATATCCCTTCCCCTAGTCTGTCCTCTCTTCTATCTCTTCTCCCCTTCTCTTCTCCCCTTCCCCTTCTATTTTCCTGTAGGGAAGGATAGACTTCTGTACTCCATTTCCTGTATTTCTTATTTTCCAGTAGCATGTGAAAACATTTTTTTAAACATATGTTTTTAAAACTTTAGGTTTCAAATTTTCTCCCTTCCTCCTTCCCCACCCACCCTCATTGAAAAGGCAAGCGACTCAATATAGGTTATACATGTGCAGTTATGCAAAACACTTCCATAGTAGACATATTGTGAAAAACTAACTCTATTTCCCTTAATCCTATCCTGCCCGCCCCATTTATTCTGTTCTTTCTTTTGACCCTGTCCCTCCTCAGAAGTATTTGCTTCTGATTACTCCCTTTCCCAAACTGCCCTCCTCTCTATCATCCCCCTGCTCTCTTGTCCCCTTCTCCCCCTATTTTCCTGTAGACAGATTTCCATACCCAATTGAATGTATAAGTTATTCCCTCCTTAAGCCAAATCCTATGAGAATAAGATTCACTCATTCCCTCTCACCTTCCCCCATTTTCCCTCCACTGTAAGAGCCTTTTCTTTTCTGTTTTTTTTTTTTGTGGGGGAGATAATTTACCCCATTCTACCTTTCCCTTTCTTCTTCTCCTAGTATAATCCTCTCTCATCCCTTAATTTTATTCTCCAGATATGACCCTGAAGGGGGACTCTTTCACTAAAATAGTTTCACCACAGCTGACCTAGTTCTCCCTTCTTTCTCTAGGAAGGAGGTCAGTTTTTCAAGAACTCAAATGTCAGGGCAGCTAGGTGACGCAGTGGATAGAGCACTGGCCCTGAAGTCAGGAGGACCTGAGTTCAAATCCGGCCTCAGACCAAACACTTGTGACCCTGGGCAAGTCACTTAACCCCAATTGCCTAAAAAAAAAAAAAGGAAAAAAAAAGAACTCAAGTGCCTAATGATCACCTTACATGCACCCTCTGCCTGGGTATCTCTCTAGGGAACCTGGAAGCTCTTCTGATGAGGAAATGCAAAGGACAACATAGGCATTGTCCTCCCTCCTGAACATCTTTACCTAGTAAAGATGGCACTTATCCAGAGATGACAAAGAAATCTAGAGAGTATTTTTAACTGGGCCTTAGTCACAGTTCAGGGGTGCTACCAAAACCACTATCACCTTGAGTGGGTCTGACATCATCCCAGTGCACCAGTCCTCTAACATGAGAAGCCATCTCTGTATTTCACTCTCACACCACAGTCATGTGTTAGTTCCTATGTCTCCTCATATTCATCATTTGTTACTTCACAATAACATGCTGTTACATCTGTATACCACAGTTTGTTCCGCCGTTCTCTGATCAATAAGTACCCACTTTGCTTTATGTGTATGTAATCATCTATATTATATGATGTATAATTGTATACAATTATATGTAACAATTATAACAACCCAACAACTGTATTTCACTACCCACCAGGCTCATAGACGACCTTAGTACTTGCAAGGGATTTTATAGAGGCTCAGCTATGGAAAATGCACTTGGATACTCGTAGACACCTCCCTGAAAGGTAACAGCCCTTTATGTCAGAGATCTCCAAGAAGTAACTAGTTTGGGGAGTTTTTGTCACCATCTTATTTCATAGCCCCAGTCAGGAAACCAGGAAACATACGTACATGATCTGCTGGGTTGAAAATCATGTAATATGTTTAAGGGATGGTAAACAGTCCCGTCTGGAAGCTAAAAAAGAGCAAGCAATGTCCTTATCCAGCTAATTAGTAGAGCTGATATTAGAAACCAATTCTTTTGACTCCTTGTCCAATGCTTTCTCTACCACACTATGGGGGTGGGTAATATCTGACAAATATGTTACTTTTATTTTATTTTTAAAAATAAGATTTATAGGAGCAGCTAGGTGGCACAGTAGATAGAGCACTGGCCCTGGATTCAGGAGGACCTGAGTTCAAATCCAGCCTCAGACATATAACACTTACTAGCTGTGTGACCCTGGGCAAGTCACTTAACCCCATTGCCTAGCCAAAAAAACCAAAACAACCAAAACTAAGATTTATAAATGCCTTGGTTTCGTTTTTGTTTGTTTTTATTGCAGTTTTTAATATCAGTCATTTGGGTATACTGCCTTCCCGAGTCTTACTGAAATCAAATTCTTCCCCGTAACAAAGAAAAACAATTAAGCAATTAAAAACAATATGAAAGGGGCAGCTAGGTGGCGAAGTGGATTGAGCTCTGATCTTGGAGTCAGGAGGACTTGAGTTCAAATGCAGCCTCAGACATATAACACTTACTAGCTGGGTGACCCTGGGCAAGTCACTTAACCCTGATTGCCTCACCAAAAAGCAAAAAAAAAAAAAACCCAAAAAACAATACATAGAGTGTGTCCATATCTGATGTTGCTATATAACAACCTTATGCTTCTCTAGTAAATCTTAAGCCTCTGTTGCTGGAAGGAGGGAGGCAGGTTTCATTATCTATTCTTTATGATCAAAACTAGTTATTATAATCACTTTAATTTACATATTAATAGTTCACATATAGGGCTTTAAGGTTTGCAAAGTGCTTTCCATAATATTATCTCATTTGATCTTCACAATAACCTTGTGTGGCAACAATGACAATAACTAACATCTATAGAATGCTTACTCTGTGCCAGGCATGGTGCTGAGCACTTTATAATTATTATCTCATTTGATCCTCACGGCAATTCTGGGAAGTAGATGCTATGATTATCCCCATTTCACAGATGAGGAGACTGAGGCAAACAGAGGATAAGTGACTTGTCCTGGGGTGACGCAGCTACTAAGTGTCTGAGGCCAGATTTGAACTCAGGTCTTCCTGATTCCAGGAAGGTGCTGTTATGATCCCCATTTCATAGATAAGGAAATTGAGCCTCAAAGACGTTAAATAGCTTGCTCTGGTTCCCACAGCAACTTAGCATCTAAGGTAGGACTTGTACCCAGGTCTTTCTGACTGAAGGTATAACACTCTTTACTACCACGTTGCCTCTCAATGTTTTGTTATGGCTCTGCTTACTTCACTGTGCATTAGTTCATTCACATGCTAGTTCCCAAGTCTCTGGAATTCCTTGTTTTCATCACTGTCACTTCTCAATAATATTCTATTACATATATTACATGTGTATATACATATACATACATATATATTATATATGCCTCAGTTTGCTTAGCCATTCCCTAATTAATGGGCACCCATTTTGCTTTCACTTCTTTGCTACCAAATTTATAAAAATATATACATATATGTATATAAAGATATTATATAATATACAATTATACCAACTACATAATTACATCTTTATATTGTATATAAATTTATATCACATGCAGATATATTTATAATATACAGGTATAATTATATATATATATATATATATATATATATATGATATATATTTTACATATATATTTAGCATTTCCTATAATAGACCTAGCTAGGCCTCTGAAACATTGAATTCCTCAAGAGGAGGATATAAATATGCAGTAAATATTCAGTTCCAGTTCCAGTTCAAACCTTACCACGCTAATGCCTTCAAGTGAAAACACGGCTGTACCAAAGAACAGGGCGTATGTCTGCCAATTTGCTGACCAGGGCAGGTTCTTAGGATTCGGTATGTCCTGCAAAAAAAGAACAGTAATGACAAGTTACCCTATTATATCAGAATATAAGCTCAAGGTTTTTTTTTTTTATGACAAGGAAGATATCCCAAAATATAAGTCAAACTTTGACTTAATATCATGTAAGTGTTCAATTGGGCAAGTCATTCATCAATCAATAAGCATATATTAAGTGCCTACTGTGTGCTAGGAACTATGGATACAAAGTCAAAAGTGAGACTGACTCTACCTTTGAGGAGCTTACAATCTAATTGGAATGTCATGTACATATACAGATAGATAGATAGACAGATAGATGAGTGGATATATGGATGGACAGACAGACAGAGACAGACAGACAGACAGATATAGCTATAATAGATACACGATAATTGGGCATTGGGGACCAGCAGCTGGGAGGATTCATGTAAAAGGTGGCTCTTGAGTTGAACCTTGAAGGGGGGGGTAAGGATTCTAAGAGGTAGAAATGAGGAGAACGTACATTCTAGGCATGGAGGACAGCTAGTGCAAAGGCTTGGAGGTGGGAGATGGAGCACTGTCTATGAGAAACAGTAAAAGGGCAAGTTTGGCTGAACTTCAGTGTGTATGATGGGCAATCGTGTAATAAGTCTGGCAAGGATGGATGAAGTCATGTTTAGGACTTTAATGGCCAAGCAGGTGTTTATGTGTGATCTTAAGAGTATAGCGAGCTACTAGAATTTATTGAGTAGAGAGGATTGACAAGGTCAGACATGCACTTTAGGAAAACCACTTTGGAAGTTGTTTGGAGGATAGATTAAAATGGAGAAAGACTTGAGGCAGATAGATGAGGTAAAAGGCTACCAAATGTATTGCAATATTGCTTAACCTCTCTGGGCCTCAGTTTCCACAATTGAAGAGTGAGGGGACTTTTCTATCTTTTCTGTCTCTAGCTCTGTGATCTTAGGACCAAAACATGGAATTTTAGAGCTGAGCATGACTTAGGGAATACCTAATCCAATCTCCTTCCTCTACAATGGAAAGAATTTCTGTGATAGGGGTTCTTGATACGGATAGAGACCATGAGCTTGTTCACAAGATAGTTTGATAATAGCATTTCAATGTAATTGCTTTCCTTTTAATATAAATTGTTTTATTTTAAGCGTTTGGAAAGATTATTCTGGCAAGGGATCTATGGGCTTCATCAGACTACCAAAGAGCTTTAGGACATACAAAAAAGATGAAAGCCCCATTTTATGAAGGCGGCACCAAAATCTGTGTGTTTTCTACATATAAATACATATACATGTATGTAATGTATACATACGCGCATGTATATATTATATATCGCCTCTATTCTAAAGTGACTTGTAGCTGTAAGGTTCTATAATTCTCTGATTTCCCCACACTGCTCATGAGAATGTTGCTACATATCCTAATTCTTTCCAAAAAATCCTTATTAATATTTTCTGTTTTTTTCTACATTTCTACACTTTCTTCCCCTCTTATTCCTCTCCCTTCCCATTCCAAGAGCCATACCATATAAGGGAGAATGCTGATTCGTGACTTTTAACCCACGTGACTTGTTCTTTCCCCAAAGAACCCATTTGTGGCCTTATGAGAGTACCTGTATAATATAACTGAAGATCAAGGCCATACTCCCCAGGATGGCAGTATTGCCTGCAGTGGAGAAGATGGCTAGCATCAGGAGGTCATGGAAAAGCACCAGAAGGATCACAAAAGGTAGGAAGGTGAGCATGTAGAGGTGCAAATGAAGGTAAGGCAGCGTCTCCACTGTCGTCTTATTTTGCTGGCATTTGTTGCTGATGGAAACGGTTTCTGTCACCTAAAGCAGGGGAGAAGGAGGAGTAGGAGAAAAACGCGCCTTATGGGAGAATGTGTGTAAGTGAGAACAAAAAGGTTTAGAGTAGATGAGAAAAGCAAAAATCCTGGCTTTTAGTCTAGAAAAGATGTTACTAAAGAAAAGCATGGAATTTCCTTGAGGGATCATTATGAGAGGCAGGTGGTGGATCTGTGGAAGGTTCCATGCCATCTCATCTAGAGGTAGGGCAATGTTCTGGTAGCCCAAGGGTGCTATCCTCTGGGCATCTTTGTTATGGCCCTAAGATGGTGATAGGCCACAGGATGGGGTGAAAGGTATACTGTACATGCTCAATTCTGGGTCCTGTCACTCGCTAGAGCTGGGGCAGTGTTTGAGCATTCTTCACCTATGTATAATTGTCCCCTGAAGGCTTTGAGCTTTCACTTTAATACATGCAAGTCAACTTAGCCTCGCCTTAGCCTTAGGCTTTAGAGTCTTCTGGCACTAGAAAGATATGTATTTGTAGAAAGTCAGCTATGTTGCCTTCATCTGTGCTTTACAGCCTGAGCAAGTGACCTCTCTGGTCCTAATCCCAGCTCTGCCTATCTTCACCTTTGCTCCATTTGAAAGAAGACATGCAAAAGAGAAGGTCCCTTTGTATCCCACTACCCTCCCTTTATCCTCCGTCACAGCTTTACCTGTTTAAAGTTGTCGGCCAGAAACAAAAAATACACACTGCAGAAACCCAGCTGAGTAATGATAAGCAAGGACCTCACGAGGTACCTGGGGAGGACAGGAACAGAGAAAGAATGATCTTTTTTTTTTCTCCTTGTTTTGAAGAGGGAATTTAAGAGACTTTATCAGTTTAGAGCCTTCTTATCTGCACAATTCTTTTTTCCATGTGTTTATGATTTCCAACTAAGTTTCCTCTGTTCATCCTCACACCTTCACATCCACGTCCATTAGAAGCAACTTGGTATAGCCAAGTTAGCAATGGGCTGAGAGACAAAAGTAACTTGGACTCAAGTTCAAGATCTGCCACTAATTTGCAAATGAATTTCTCTCCCTTTGCCTCAGTTTTCTTACCTGTAAAACTGGTCTAGAATAATGTCTGCCCCTCTCAAGGTTGTGGTGAAGAGCACAGTAAGGTAGAAAGTTCTGTACCTGCGGGAGTTCTTAACTTGGGGTTCATGATCATGTCTTTAAATATGTTGATAATTGTATTTCAATGTAACTAGTTTCTTTTGTAATCCCATGTATTTTATTTTCTGCATTTGAAAACATCGTTCTGAAAAGTAGTCCATAGGCTTTGTCAGGTTGCCAAAGGAGTTTATGGCATTTAAAAAAAAGTTAAGAAGCCACGTTTGAGGGGCAGCTAGGTGGCACAGTGGATAGAGCACTGGCCCTGGAGTCAGGAGGACCTGAGTTCAAATTCAGCCTCAGACGCGTGGGCAAGTAAATTAATCCTTATTGCCTCGCCTCGCCCCCTCCCCCCCATAGCAAAACAAACAAACAAAAAACCCTGTTTGGCAGAAATGTGGGTTATTATTATTACTCCTATCTCTGCTATTAACACATAGTGTGACTCTAGGCAAGTCACTTAGTCCCTATTGCCTCACCCCCCCCCCAATAGCTAAAAACAAAAAACAAAACCAAAACCCTATTATTCGGCAGAAGTGTGGATTATTATTATTAATTCTATCTCTGTTATTAGCACATAGTTAACTTGGGGCAAGTCGTTCTCTGTGCCTCAGTTTCCTTCTTGAAAATTGAGTTTTGTGTAGATGGTCCATTAAAACTCGTCCTGCTTCTCAGGTCCTCTTCTAGCTGCTGTCAGTGAGCAAGATGAAGCAAGGATGGAAGACCTGACTGGGCCTTCCACTATTGGTGTCTCTTGTGGTCAGGAGACACCTGACTTAACCAGAAGGGCTATATCATCTGTCTCACAGTGATGCCCAAACGGAGCTCCCAGCTCCTCCTACCTCACAGCAAGCTGGCTCCATCAGATCAAAGCCTCCTTTGGACACTCCTGACTCAGTTCAGGTCTGAACTGAGCTCTCTGACATACATTTCAACTGGACTCTCTGTGATTCTTTCTAGGTTGCTTCTCTCCACTCTTCTCTGCCTCATAGCCAAAGAGAGCATTTCTAGGGGTGAGAATGGGGAGGAAAAGCATTCATTAAGTGCCTACCATGCCTCAGGAGATGTGCTAAGGGTTTGACAAGTATTATCTCATTTGATAATAGGGGCCCTTTCTTCTTGAGGACTGGACCACATGAATGAGGTCCTAGAGTCACTCCCAAACCCAAGGCTCAAGGGAGACATCATGTTCACAAGTTCCATGGAAGTTATCATAAGTCCTACAACGGAGGAAGGGGGCTGTGAGTAACATCCGAGGTCAAAAGCTGTGTTCTGATTAGGAAAGAGTAAGTCCAGGGAGCAGCCCGGTTATCTTGCCATATAAACTGAAAGGTCAAACTTAAATGCCGGAAGTGGGTGTGGGGGACCTTAGAGGTTCTTCCAGTATTAGAAAAGGGGGAGAAAAAAGTTATCCTTAAAATTATATGTTTTTGTTTTAATGTCTATCCTTCTGCAGATTATAATTTAATATACTTGGTATAATATATACTCATATAATACTTATGAACCATATATAATAAATATATATTTATATTAATATAATTAATAGACTATAGAAATAATAGTAAAACTCACATTTATTAATTTGGGGGGGTCTGAATTTGTGATTTTCACTGTGTGAGAACTGCTTGGATAATTTCTCTATCAATCAATTAATCTCTAACTTACGAGTTAAAGCATCACAGATTTAGAACTGGAAGGGACCTTGGAGGTCCCTCATTTTACGTATGAGGGAGCTGAAGCCCAGAGAAGAAGTGGATTTGCCCAAGGTCATATAGGTAGTAAACGGCATAGGCAGGATCCAATCCCATGTCCTCTGATCCCAAATCTAGCACTTGTCACCCTCATCATCCTGTTTACTACTCAAGTTATCCTGACAATGCTTTCATTGAACCTGTAGAAAATGAACTTATCTGCTAGGACTTTCAGTTCCTAAAAAAAAAATCACTTGTGCAATGGTCCACAGAACACTAAATGTCAAATAATAATAGCAGGATAACAATTTGTCCTAGGATAATTTCTATCTGAATTTCATCAAAAGAAATCATCATCATCATCATCATCAATAATGATAATAATAAAAACTTTGGACTTTCAGGTTTACAAAAAGATGTTCCTCATAGTAACCCTTGAAGATAGTTAATGAACACATTAAATAAGTAATATTGCCATTTTATAGATAAGGAAACTGATCCAGCCTTAGGGAATTGCTTGGGTACTAAGAGGTTTGTGTAATTTATCCATGGTCGTAGATATATGTCATAGGACTTGAGCCCAAGTCTCCTGGACTCAAATTCCAAAAACTCCTTTATCCAAAGCCTCTTGCTGCCTGCCTCTTAATTCACATTTATATAGTGTTTTGAAGTTTACAAAGGAAATGGAATTTGAAAGAAACATTTCATTAACGCTACCATTACTGTGTTTTTCCATGGTGCCTACCCTGGTACAGAAGCCAACTTTGGCACATGCTCTCACAGTGTGCTCAGTGTCAGGGACTGTCATGGGGCTGCTGATGAGATGAAGCAACTGGAAGGAGGGAATAGAGATGGAGAAGACCTGCTCTGCCCACGTGGAACGCTTATCCAAGCCAGCCCAGTACACAGCACCGCCCCCCAGGGGATCTACAGGGGCCATGGGACCATCACAGCTTTGAGTCCTTCCCTTTAAACTGGCCGATGCTATAGTGTGCTGACTTCTGTCCACTTCTGAGATACTAAGCCAGGAAAACTCTAAAGGAAAAGAAATACTCCTAATCTGGGGGGAGTCCATTTGGCAGCGGAGAAACAACAATGTAGTTAGTGTTAAGAGACCTGGGTTCAAGTTCTGGACAGTGGCAAAAGCTTTGAGTTTGGAGTCCGAAGAGCTGGGTTTGCATTGTAGCAGAATCAGGGCAAGTGCTCGAGTCAGAGATGGGTGCCTGAACTCAAAGCCAAGTTGTAATACATACTAGCCTTGTGACTTTGGGCAGGCTGGTACCGCTGTCTGAACCTTAGTTTCCTCATCTATAAAATGGCAAGAATACTTATTTAATATTTGTATTAACTATCTTCCAGGGCTACTGTGAGGAGCATCCTTTTATAAACCTGAAAGTCCAAAGTTTTTATTGTTATTATTGATGATTTCTTTTAATGGATTCAGATAGAAATTATCCTAGGACAAGTTGTTATCCTGCTATTATTTTTTTTCATTTAATGTTTTGTGGGCTATTGCACAAGTGCATAGAAATAACTTTTTTTTTTAAGAACTAAAAGTCCTAGCAGGTAAGCTCATCTTCTGCAGGTTCGCTGAAAGCATTGTCAGGATAACTTGAATAGCAGACAGGATCAAGACCGACGTACCCCAGCCTATTCCCAGATGGTTTTGATTTCTTTCAGTAACTCTATATTTTGAAGGTTTTTTTGGAATTAGGAGTATTCATTGAAGACAATAGCTTTACATTTTATTGATCAATGGTATGTCTGGACAATTATGGGCAATGGTTTCGCTGACCATAATGCTCCATATTCACTACAGTTTATTGGTTAAATTCTCCAGCATATTTTGGGGTAGACATTTATAATATGAGGATTTGTTCTCTGTTAGCAAGCTTCTGTTGTATAATTCAGGTCACTTAATTATGTCTTCTAGGACTTTGAGTAGATGCTAAACTTTTGCAGCCTGCAGTGATCTGTGGCACAGTTTCTTCTGTGCATAATATGCTAAGGTATAATATGTCTCCAATGATTAGTCCAGCTTCCTTAAAGATAATTTTTTCTATAGTTGCTAGTGGCCAAGACCTCTTCCGGAATCACTACCCTAAACCTCTCTGCAAGCAAATATATATCACTCAGCCATTTGTTACATGTTGTTAGTTGATTTAATGTGGATGCCTCCCATGAAGAGTGGGAAATTCTTCCCCTGGATCTTAACCATTTCATAGGTTCCCTATAGGAGTAAATGACTTTCAGTTAAATCCAACAAACCTAATAGTGTGCGGGATTGGCACGCGTGTGTGTGGCTCAGTGGATAGAATGCCAGGCTTGGAGTCAGGAAGACTCATCTTCCTCTTTCAAATGTGGCCTCAGACACTTACCAGCTGTGTGACCTTGGGCAAGTCACTTAATCCTGTTTGCCTCAGTTTCCTCCTCTGTCAAATGAGCTGGGGAAGGAAATGGCAAACAACTCCAGTATCTGGAGAGAAAACCCCAAATGGGGTCACGAAGAGTTGAACATGACCGAAATGACCGAACAACAATGACAAAAATAGTGTTTCACTGTTTTTTTTTAGTTTTACTATTATTCTGTGAAGTTACATCTATTCATTCCCTAAGTGTTTCTTTAAATTTTTCACGTTTATCTTGAGTTCTGAGAACGTCTATCAGTTACTTTATCTCCTTTTTCACAAAGAAGTGTTCATCTTTCTACGGTTGCCTTGGAGTGATGGCCTTGTTTTTTATTAATATTGTACAAGGTTTTATCTGGATGCTTTCTAAATTTGTTGTTCATTTATTATTACTGCAAGATCACAAAATTTAGAAAAGGAAAAGACTTAAAGAATCATTTAGTCTAATCCTTTCATTTTTAGGGATGAGGAAATTGAGGCCCACAAGAGGCAAGTCTAAGGTCACACAGATTACTTTGAGTAACAGAGCCAAGAGGCAAACCCAGATTTCTGAAACCAAATGCAGTGCTTTTTCCAGTATTACATGCTGCCCTGACTTATTAATATTAATAATAACTGATATTATTACTAATAATTGTTATTGTCAAAGCCTCAAAGAAGGATTTTGGTATAATGAACAACTGGTATTAATACTATCATCAATATTATTGTTAATAATAGTTATTATTTGTTTTTTGAAAATCCTTCTTTGAGGTTTTCATTTGCTCAGTTCATACATGGGAAAACAAGTAACCCCTTGGTGGTATGATAACAAAAGGACAACAGTCCCTCCCAGAAAACTAAAGGGCTTCCCAGGACAAAGAGTCCAGATTAGTATCTCATTTTCTAGGTAGTAGACACCAATGATGTTCATGCTTTTCTCCTACCTAAGACCATGAAGCTAAACAGTCTGTCAGTGGGGCCTTAATGTATGTTCCCCACTTACAGGTGAGGAGGCAGGGTATTACCTTGCCCACAAGGAATGGGTACGAAGCCAGAGGAAGGGACTGGCTTCCAGCCCATACATCACAGTATCTCCATAGTCCACAAAGGGCTTTTGCATCCTGGAGGGAGACATAAATAGACATTAGCTGTCAGCTAGTTTAGCCAGAGCCTGTATGGCAGAGGTGAAAGAGCGTAGATCCATAGAAGCCTAGAACCCTGGACTCTTAGGACCATGGACTCTTGGAGCTGGGGAGGTCCTCAAGAGTTCATACAGCCCAACTCTGACTCCAGCAGGAATCCTTTCTACAGTATTCCTGGTAATTATTATCGTTGTTTCAGCCCTCCTAGTCTGATGTCATCTGCAGCTCAGTAAGTATGACATTTATGCCTTTGTCCAAGTCACCGCTAAAACTGTTAACAGGACAGGGCTGAGGGTAGAACAGGGCCCTCTCTGAATGAACAAAGACAAGAAGGGAGAGGTACAATATGTAGATAATGTGTTCTTGCTGTTGGACAGACAGAAGAAGGCATCTATGGGAAGAACAGAAGGACCAGAATTGAAGAGACAAAGGTCAGCGTTGGCCTGTTCTTTCTCCTTTAGCGATGGCAGCAAGTGTCTTATTTTTCTAGAGTAATTATTTTCCCATTCTTCTGGGCCAAATAGTTGACTTACTGGATAAAGGGACTAGATGAAATTAATAAAAAGAGAAATGCAAGTCCTCCTGCAGAGTTCTTGACCAAATGTAGGATAAAGTAGATCACGTTAATGACAAGAAATTGAAAGGCTTTTTCAGGAACAAAATCACCATACGTAAGATAAAAAGGGAAGTTGTTGATTGTGGAAAAAATTTACATGAAATTAGAGGTCTGATAGCTAAGGTATGTATTTAGAGGTCTGATAGCTAAGATATATGGGGAATTAATACATATGTATAGTACCAAGAGCCATCCTTCAATGCATGAGTGACCAAAGGTTGTGAATAAATAGTTCTCAAAGGAAATGTAAACTATGAAGGATGATATGAAAGATTGCTGCAGATTACTAATGAGAGAAATACAAATCAAAACAACTCTGGAGTTTTACCCCACATCCAGCAAATGAGCAAAGATGACAAAAAGTGGGCCTAATCAGTGCTGGAGGGGCAGTGGAAAGCAGGACACACTAACTTACTGTTGGTGAAGATGGGAATCAGTACAGCCATTCCAGAAAGACATTTGGAATTTGGTTTAAAATGACTAAAATGCCCATACCCTTTGACTCAGACCCTTTACTAAGCATATACCCTAGGGAGGTTGAAGGCAGAAAGGTCCTACATATGCATCAAACTATTCATACTAGCACTTTTTTGTGTGGTTATAAAGAATCAAAACCAAAACAGTTCCCTTTAGATTGAGGAGTGTAAAACATGAAGGTAATAGAATATTAACACACTAAAAGCAGAATTTATTGAAACACGGGCAACCTTTGAGGGAACAGCTTCATGGAGGTGGTGGGGCTAGACGCCAGAATGCAAAGGTCTGAGAAGTGAGTGGGTGGTAGAAGTAGAGCCAGAAAGTGTAGATAACTCTTCCTAGAATTTGATAGTAGAAGGGAGTAGATACACATGATGATAGCTTGAGGGGTTGGCAGGTTCAAATAAAGTACTAAGAGGTGCTTATTAGGTATTTGTTTTCTGAGTAAAGGAAGAAATGAAGTCTTCTCTGGTGAAAGAGTTTTATGAGCAGTACTCAAGACTCAGAGAGAGGAGATGGTCTGAATAAGCACTGAAGTGATCATGATAGAAACTCAACCATGGAAGAATAAATGTGCATCACTTTGTTTTATCTCACAAGTTTACTTATCATGTGCTATTGTTTATCATAATTATCTGTGTTTATGTCCTATCCTCCTACTATAAATTCCAGAAGAGCAGGGATATTTACATCTAAATTGTGTACCTCCTCTATCACGGTGATTTACATGCAATCAACCAATTCATAGTCACTCTTCTGGGTGCCAGAGGGAGAAAAACAAAAAAAAAAGAAAGAGGACCTGCCCTACAGGAGCTTACGTTCTATCAGGGGGGTATAACACGCACATAAACAAGTGAATACAAAATCAATAAAGTCAAAATGATTTGGAGGGGAGGACGCTAGAAGCTGGGGGGGAGAGTCAGGAAAGACTTCCTACAGAAGATGTCATGTCAGCAGAGTTATGAAGGAAGCAAGGAATTTCGAGAGGGGGAAATGAGGTAGGACTATACAAATGTTTCTTAAATTAATGAATGAAGGTGTTAGGGCACGAAAGATTCCAGAGATTGTACCAGTTTTTAAGTGAGGGCTTTTCTAGCTTGAGAGCTACCAGCTTGGATAGAGCAAAAATTAGAATTCTAGATCCTATGTGTGAATACCAAGGTCATAAGAAGCAGTGTATTGCAAGGAGAAAGAAATGAACAGAAAGTCAGAAAATTTGGACTGGATTCCCAGTTCTGCCTCTCACAAGCCAGGTCAACTGTGGGAAAATCCCTCCAACCTTTCCCAAGCCTCTATTTCTTCATCTCTAAAATGGGGATAATAATACTTGCATTGCCTATTTTACAAGGTTGTTGTGAGAAGAGCACTTTGCAAACTGTAAGATGCTGTAAAGCTGTCAGCTTATGCTAATATTATGATTATTTTGCTCTTTCCTTCCTACTCTATCCCTTTAAAAAATAGGCCAAGTAGTTCACAGGAAGGAAGCCAGTTGTCCAACAGAAGGAACACCAAGTCAATGTGACTGCCCTGAAAAGTAGCTAAAGTGGCAGCAGCATTATTCATGATAGTAAAAATAGTTCTAGTAAGCATCAAGGAATGGTTCTGTTGTCTAATGATAATGTAGCAACATAACAAATTGGGTAATGAAGGAGATACAAGAGGATAAAATTATTCTGTTCTGGGCAGGAGTATGCCCACATCCTTGGTTAACACCAGTTTTGAAAGCCATAAGAGAATAATGAGTAAAATACAAGTGAGATCAGGAACTGATAGATAAATTAGAGATGGATAGATAGATTAGATAGATAGATAAATAGATAGAATTGTTTAATTTACTTTTCATGAAAGTATTCCCGAGAATGTTGCATCAATTGGTAAGCAATTTTTTTTTTGTTGGGCTCTTATCACCTTTACCTATACTAATGCCACTAAAAGATCCTATTTTTTGACTAGTGAACCTCAGGGAGGTCAAGTGAATCACTCTGGTCATATGTTAGTAAGTACAAGTAGTAAAATTCAGAACCTTTCTTATTTCAAGTCCGCAGTGTACTCACTGCACCAGGCTGCTTCTCTAGAAGGGAGTATGTGACTCGATGGATAGTGTCCTGACCTTGGAATCAGGAATATCTAAATTCAAATCTCATCTCAGACACTTATTAATTGTGTGACTCTGGGAAAATCCCCACCCTCTCTTTGCCTCGGTTTCCTTAAGTGTGAAAATGGAGATAATAATCCAGGGTTGTGAAGCTCAAATAAGATAATATATCTGGGAGGCAGCTAGATGGTGCCCTGGAGTCAGGAGAACCTGAATTCAAATCCAGCCTCAGACACTTGACACTAACGAGCTGTGTGACCCTGGGCAAGTGATATAACTTGGATTGCCTCACCAGAAAAGAAAAAAAAAAAAGTATATATATAGATATATATGAAATATATCTATCTATATAATATATATATATATAAAATATATCTATCTATATAATATAGATAATATACAAAATATATCTATCTATCTATATAATATATATCTATATATATCTGAAAAAGGCTTAACACAGTGAATGGCACATAATCCTTCTTTCTTTCCTTTCTTCTTCCTTCTCTAAAGGAAACTCATTTTTGCCACTGAAACAGGTGGCGCAATGGAGAGAGCGCTGGGCCTGGAGTCAGGACGGTGGTTAGTCATTTCAGTTGTGTTTGATTCTTTGTGACCCCATTGTGGGTTTTCTTGGCAAAGATACTGGCGTGGTTTACCATTTCCTTCTCCAGCTCATTTTACAGATGAGGAAACTGAGGCAAACAAGGTTAAGTGACTTGACAAGAGTCACATAGCTACTAAGTGTCTGAGGCCAGATTTGACCCCAGGTAGATGAGCCTTCCTGATTCCAGACCAGGCACCATACCCGCTGTGCCACCTAACTGCCCAGAGTCAGGAAGACCTGAGTTCAAATGTGCCTGAAGACTAAATAAACAACGATAACAAAATTTCCAGCCTCCCCCCCCTCCAATGAAATAAATGCATTTATATGTTTCCCACATTCACCATCAACTAAACAAAAAAACTGACTCCATATTGTCGGTCTATCTGATCTGAAGTAAACATATATTAGGCAGAGCAGGTGACTTTCTGTGCTGTGTGGTGTGCTTCAAAGGTCCTCCTTTGGCACAATTTTGTGAAAAAGGTAGTGGATAAATTATTTCATCCATTTTATAGATGGGCATTTACTACATTTCCAATTATTTGCTACTACGAAAAGTGCTGCTCTACCTATTTTGATTTGTATGAAACCCTTCTTTTTATCACTGACTCTCTTAGGTTACATATCTCAGTATCTCTGTGTCAAAGGTTATGGACAGTTTAGCCCCCCCACCTTTTTTTAACCAGCTCTACCATGCTTTGCACCTGTGATTCTATATGCTTTCTTTCATGTAAGAACAGGGATAACCAAGGCTTACCTGTGGCAGAAGTGGTGAGCACACCTCACTAGGATGTCCATACAGTGTATAATCATGACACCTACCACCAGCAGACTGATAGGACCCGCCTGGGGGAAAGGAATGGGTAGAGGAAGGAGAGATTTCATTTGCAAATTATCAAAATCCAGCTTTGGCTGCCAAGGAACAGACTCTTAGAATATAGCCCTGGGGAAGTGACATGGCAATGGAGGGGCAGGAAAAATAGAAAATGCTCTGAATTAATTATCTCATTTATCTTTCCCCTCAGACCCTCCTTCTTCCTAACTTCTCTGTTGCTGCAGACGGTATCACCGTCCTCCCTCACCCAGGCTCACGATGTAGGTGTCATCATTAACTCCTCACTCCCTTTCGCTCTCCATCCCTATATCCAATCAGTGGTCAAGTTTTGTCGTTTCTACCTTTGTAACATTTCTTAGATATGCCTCCTCTCTTCTGAAACCACCACCACCCTGGTGCCAGGCCCTCATCACCTTACGCCTGGATTTTTGTAATAGCCTGCTGATTGGTCTCTCTACCTCAATTTTTTCTCTACTTCAGTCCATCCTTCACTCACCAATCAAATTAATCTTCCTAAAACACAAGTCTGACCATATCACTCCCTCTTCAATAAACTCCAGTGGCTCCCAGTTACCTCCAGGATTTAATATAGCATCCTCTATTTGGCATTTAAAGCCAAAACGTGGCTCCCTCCTACCTCCCCAGTTTCCTTATACCTTATTCCCTCCACTGCTTTGTGATCTAATGGCACTAGCCTCCTTCCTTTTGTTCCTCAAACCCAACATGCCTTCTCCCAGCTCCGTCTTTTCTCTGGCTGTCTTCCATGCCTGGAATTCTCTCCCTCCTCATCTTCACTGGCTTCTCTGGCTTCCTCAAAGTCTCAGCTAAGTTTCACCTTCTGGAAATAAGTACTCCTTAATCTTAGTGTCTTCTCTCTGAGACTACCTCCAATTTAACATGTGTGTGTATGTGTATGTGTTTGTGTATGTATATGTGTATGTATGTACACATATTGTGTGTATACGTATATATGTATGTATATATATTATAAACACATACATAGGATAAATTGGAGGATATATGTGTGTGTATATATACATACATACATACATATACATATACATATACATATATATACATACATATATACATATATATATAGTTTATTTGTACATAGTTGTTTGAATTTTTTTTCCCTGCCCCATTAGTCTGTGAGATCTTTGAGAGTAGGAACTGTTTTTTGCCTTTCTTTGTATCTCTAGCATTTGGCACAGGGCCAGGAACACAGTAGTTGCTTAATAAATACTAGCTGACTGAGTTTTCCTAAATTCTTATTCATATCTCATGCCCTAAAAGATGAAGACAAATCTAGTAACCAAGGAAGTCTGTTTCAAACAAGAGAAAAGGAGATTGACCTGTCCTAAGGATTGCCATCCTTGTCAGAGTCAGTGGTATAGGCTGCCTATGAGGCTGTGCAGACTCCTTTGGCCATTGGGATTCTGCATGTTTGAAACAGATCAATGTATGGGAGTGCAAAACTACTAGAGGCAGCTCAATGCGGTGAAAAGAACATTTGGATTGAGGTGAAAAATCCTGGCTTCCGTCCTTCCGGCCCCAGTACTAATTGGATACATAAGTTTGTTGAGTCACCTGAGTGTTTCCCAAACCAAAACCATACCACACACACGCACACCGTTTGATTTCATTGGCATATCGAACCTCCTAAGTAAGTAAACTTCCTCTGCTAACGCAGGTCAGCACCTGTACTCATACTTAAGAGTCTTATGTGGTTACCTAGAGCACTGAGAAATTAAGTGACTTAAATTAAGAAATTAAGTAAGTGTCTAGGGGGTCACAAAGCAGTAAATCATACTTCAGAAAATCTGTGATTTTATCAGTTTAAATGCTTCCAACAACTATAACCTTTCCACGGCTCAGTAGATAGTTCCTTAAGAATTTCTGTGCTCAAAAATAGTCATCGCCCAGTGAACAGATGTGTTTATTATAGGGGCAGTGTGGCGTAGTGAATACCAGCCACAGAGTCAGGAAGACCTGAATTAAAATCCTGCATCTGATTCATACTGGCTGCATGACTCTGGGCAAGTCATTTAAACTCTCAGAGTGCCAAGCAATTCTTCAGGGATATAACTGGTACTTGCAAAGGAGGCACCAATCTACATTGGTAGGAGTTTTTTCACTGGAAATTCCCTATACTGATGGGACTAATTAAAAAAAAACCTTCAATAAATAGTGAGAGAAATTAAAATTTATTTCTTTGTCATGGAGATAAAAGACATAATTAAAACATATATTTAGAGATCAATACATCTTATGTGTCCCCCCTAAAACCCTGCTCTGGTGCCTTATCATGGCTTTGAGCTAACATTAGGTTCTCAAAGGCCAGTTTACTGGAATGCAAGCTCTAGAGGATTGCCCCAAAGCTTTGAATATGGACCGAGGGATGGACTATGTTGTCCAGAGAGTAGTCTATATGTCTGTGGTCCAAAAACAAGACTAGTTGAATGTAAAGCAGCTCATTTTTCTAAGGCTGGCCACCAAATTTTTGATCATTACTATTATTATTATTTTGGCTATAGTAACAAATAAAGACCAATTTGTGAACAGATGGAGGAACTTCCTTCTCTATATGTAGAATGTAAACTTTTTGAAGTCAGAGACCCCATACTTTTGAGTCCTACCTAGTTCTTAGTATCATACTTAGCATATAATATTGGGTTTTCTAGGCAAAGATACTGGAATGGTTTGCCATTTCCTTCTCCAGCTCAGTTTACAGATGAGGAACTGAGACAAATGGGGTTAAGTGACTTGCCCATGGTCACACAGGTAGTAAGTGTTTGAGGCTGAATTTGAACCTAGGTCTTCCTGACTTGAGGCCCAGGCTCATTGTGGTAGCTGCCCTTTAGCACATAATAGACACTTAAAAATTAATAGACACAACAAAAAATTGTTGAATTGACTTGAATAGGCATACATCAATGAAATCATGCATCCTTGAAGTATTTGGGTATACTTCAGACCCATTTTAAATTTTAAAAAATGAATCAATTTTCTCCAAAATGGGGGGAATGGCCCTTTGTCCCCATGTATTTCATGGAATTATGGTGAAAGTACTTTTGAATTCTACAGTGCTGTAGAAAGATGTGCTCTTAATGCTATGTGCAAAGGAGCTGGGAGGGGGGAACCTGAGAGTTCTCAAAACTATTTCTCACTTGCAGGCAGAGTGACAGAATGGGAAAAAACCCTGGCGTTCGAGTTCTGGCTTTGATCCTACCTCACTCTGTAATACTCGGCGAGTCCCTTCCACTCTCTAAGCCTCAGCTCCCTTTGTGAAATGGTAATAATAGTACTGATACCACCACCCTCACAAAGCTTTTCTGAAGACAAAAGTGCTTTGTAAAAGTGATATTTGTTTGAAAATGTGAATCTGTGATTTCATCACAGTGTGTCCCTTTAGGAAGGAAGATCATAACCCTTTCATCTCTTAGTATCTTGAAGAGTTGCTATAGCAGGGAGCAGCTAGGTGGCACAGTGGATAAAGCTCCGACCTTGGAGTCAGGAGGACCTGAGTTCAAATTTGACATCAGACACTTGACACTCACTATCTGTATGACCCTGGGCAAATCACGTAACCCCAATTGCCTCACCAAAAAAAAAAAAGTTGCTGTGGCAGCCAACCAGAATGATGAACTTCTCCAACTTAACTAAGCTGATCTTCCTCCAACTGACAAAGGCTCATTACCCTGCCTGAATTCAAAGTGCTTCTTCCAGGCTGTAGAATATGCTAGGGTTTATGCTCCACTTGAGCTCTGAGAGCTCAGGATTACTTCCACCCTATAATGTGGAATTGGAAGATGACATTGCTGGGGAGCTATAAGTATTTCTCTTGATTACTGATTCTAATAAACAAAGTTGATCTAGTGAAACATACACCAAACAGCCTTTCAATTTCTAAGTAACTTAAGAGTCTTTGAAAACCCTCTCATCTCCTGCCAAATTGGTGATGCTAGGTCCAGTTTTCACAGACCCCCACTTACAATGATGCCTGCATTCTTCATGGCCAGAGGCAGCCCCAGAAGACCTGTGCCAATGTTTGCTTTGAAGAGATGGGTCAAGGCCTGAAGTCCTCTGAGGATTGAGGGAGAGAAACACAAAGGAGCATTAGTGCGGAGATTTGTTTTGATCACTTACATAAAGCATTTGTAAAACATAAAAAGAGGTACCTGTTCGTCAGCTCTGACACCAAGGGGACAAAGTAAAAGAACTCTTTTGGTGGCACTGGTGGGGTCTTTCAGCTCCAACACCCTCCCTTGGAAAATCTGGGGTCTGTGGTAATGACTGAGTTAAAAGTCTTAGAGATTTTTTTCTCATAGCTGCAGCACAGGCAGCCCCAAACTGGACTGGGGTGGGGAGACAGGGAGGGCAGTACAGAAATAAGAAAAGAACGGAAAAGAACCAAGAATGAGTTTCTCCCTTCAGCCTCCACTGGTCAAAATTCTATATATGAACTAATAAACATTTTTCCTCTTGAAATTTCAAAGGGGAAGCATAGACTACAGAATTATGAAGGACCTTAAAGGTTGTTTAGTTTTAACACCTTCATTTTACAGATAAGAAAACTGAGGCTCAGAGAGAAGTGACTTGCTTAAAGGCCACATACTAAGTGGCAGAGCTTGGATTCAAATCCAGGTGCTCTCATATAGCTTATATCAAATTGCTCACCATCTTAGGGAAGAGGGAAGGAAGGGAAAAAAATTTAGAACTCAAAATTTTATGAAAAACAAATGTCAAAAGTTGTCTCTACATGTAATTGGGAAAAATATTATTAAAAATAAATATAAAAAGGCTAAGGCAACAGCAAAAACAAATCTAGGTGCTCTAACTCCAAGTCTAAGTGCTCCATTATACCACACTAATGAAATAAATGAAATAATTTGTTAAGTGAATTTTCACGTTCTAAATGCTGGGATTACAAATACAAATATAAGAATGTCTCGGCCCTCAAGAGACTTAATAGAAGAGGGAGACACACACACTGGTCAGTCAACAAGCATTTTTAAACACCCATTATGTGCTAGGCACCCTGCTAAGCAGCGGGGATGCAAAGAAAGCCAAAAGACAGTCCCTGCTCTCAAGGAGCTCACATGTAAGGGAGTATTTTATTTCCAGGGAAGTGTGGTTTCGTTTATGAAATCACAGGGAGAGTAAAGAGGCCAGAGGGTAATCAGTTGACACACCATTTCCCAGAAGCAATGGTAGTATTGATTTAATTACTTAGAATAGATGGACGTTGGGAGCAGGGGAGTGAGGAGTGTGTGCACATGGTGGCACATCAGGAAGATGTCTGGAAAGCATTGTGGTCAAAGGTCTGGAATTGGAAAAATATAATAAGCTCACACAAGTTAGGGCCACATCACCCTATGGCTGGGGTTCCAAAGCTCTGTAGGTTAAACATCAGGAAGCCCAGCGGTGCAGAAGCAGCATTGGCAGGGCACGTGACAAGGGGAGGCCTGGAGTGGACGTCTAGATGGGCTATGGAGCATGCCCTGGGGGCTAGGGTTGGGTAGGTACAGCCATGATCCCGTGCCAATGTTTACTTTGACTAGGTAGTTCCAAAATTGAATGGATGAAATCACCCAAGGCATGATTTCAGGAGGTCCACTGATTCAGGCAAAAGTGAAGCAGAGCAGATGTCAGATAGATGGCCAGGCTAGACAGTCAAATGGGATGCAAAGCATGATCTGGTATCTAGGGCTGACTTGATATGGTGGACGTATCAATTTAGCATCATTAGGGATGTGAGAAAATGAAGCTCTTAGCGTGATAGAAAACATGATCCATCTTGCCTGGGACTTTCCTCACTCTTGTTTTGCTCCGATATCCTTCAGCAACTGGCTGGTCCCCACACCATGAAGTAATGTTCTTTTTCTGTGCAACCTGTTGCTATTAGACCACTTTTGCTTCAGCAAACAACCTGTTTCTCCCTTAGTTTCATATGGGCATAAGAGGTTGTATTTTTCCAAGGCATTAATTGATTTTAATTCAAAGAGTGGTAACTTATAATGAGCAGGATACCTTACTCTAAGATTTCTCTCTGTTCTTCATTTAGATTGATCAATACAAGCTTATATCTTATTTTAATCACTTATTTTTGTAGGTCACCATGGCCAAAGAATGCATCAGCTACTTACCAGCCTCCTAGTGCCTCTCTATACTTAACTGGACTGATCCTCAGGCAGAAGATCCTGTTGATTTCTTAGAGGTTAGCTTAGTTAAATCTCACAGAATTTGTGTAGTGTCTTTGTGAGCCCAGCATATTTCCACAATGAAGTGTAGGAGTGGGATTTTACGGAGATCATAGTGTATGAAACTGGAAAGGATGTTAAAAATCATCTAGTATGACCCTTTCATTTTACAGCCAAGGAAACTGAGGCCCAGAGAAATTAAGTGACTTGCCTAAGGTATATAGAAGAGTCAGGTTTTGAATCAATGCCCTCTGACTACAAATGTGCTAAAAATTGTGACAATGCCCTATACCAGGGGTTGACAAACTAGCTTCTGAGGCCAAATCCCACGGGCCTCCTATTTTTGCAGGGCCCACAAGCTAAGAATGGGTTTTTTTTGTTTGTTTTTTAGATAAAATTTTATTGCGTTTAAAAATATAACAAAAACATTTTTTAGCTTTTAGGGTTGTATAAAAATATACAGAAGGTCTAATTTAGTTCTTGGGCTATAGTTAACTGACCTGTAAACTGTACCATGTAGCCTTCTATCTCAAAATTTACCTACGGAATGGCCTACCCAAGGCTCTAACCCAGATTTCCTGACTTCTAATCTAGTGTTTTTGCCATTCACTGTGCAAGGCAGTAAAGCTTTGCCCTGTTTCCATTTCTTGGAGTATATGTGACAGAGTGACCTTTTTTGTTAGAAAGTCACACCATAGGAGGCCACCTCCTCTCCCTGGCCCAAGCCCAAATGACTCTTATTTCCAGAAGTCCCTTTTTTTCAGGCTTGGTCATTGTTTCATTGTATATATCTCTCTATCAGATCCCATGGATGATTCATAAACCAGCCAGTGGCCATGACTCTGCCCCATTAATTTGTTCCACCCACATGGTTGCCCAATAAGCAAGATTATTTCACCTTAACAATATATCACCATTCAGCCAACTCCTTCCAAAATTCTCAGGAGGGATTGCTTCTTTACAAATACATTAAATTGGGAAGGATGACTGATGGAAGGGATGATAGTCAGACAGCAACTATTTAGTAAGGCACTTACTATGTTCCAGGCATTGTGCTAAAGTCCTGGGAATACAGAGAAAGGCAAACCACTCCAGTATCTTTGTCGAGAAAACAATGCCAAATGCAGTTATGCACAGTCAGACACAACTAAAACAAATGAACAATAATAACAACAACTGATGGACGAGTAGAGGATCCTTTGTCTCCAGGAGTGAGAAGAGTGGTGACTTCTTTACTCAACTATTCTGAAATGTTGATCCAAAGTATGTTTTTCATATATCATGATCTTTTCCTTGTTTCGAATATCCCTAAATGTTATCTGAAATCATCTTGGTGTAGAGCAATGGTGTTAAATTCAAATAGAAACAAGGCCACTAAACCAACTCTGAAGGCTGTATAGTGACTTAATTTTAAAATGTAGCATTATCTATGTTTTACTGTATTTTAAAAAATTTTGTTAAATATTTTCCCAGTTGCATTTTAATTTGGTTTCAACCACACTCAGGACTTTAGTGGGCTGCATATGGCCCGTGTCTGACACTTTGAGTGTAGAGAGCCACCTTAGAGAGCATAGGACCATGCCATCTTGGAGATTTCTTTCTCCAAGCTATAATTGCCTTGGATATAGATAAATGCTCAATTAAATTATTTCTGATAGATGAACCAAAATTGCAGAACAGAGTATTAGCATTAATGCTGTAATAGAGGCAGCTAGGTGGTGCAGTGGATAGAGTATTGAGCCTAGAATCAAGAAGACCTGAGTTCAAATGCAGCCTCAGACACTTACTAGCTTTGTGTGACTGTGAGCAAGTCACTTAACCTCTGTTTGCCTCACTTTCCTCAATTGTAAAATGAGAATAACAATACCACTTACCTTGAAGGGTTGCTGTGAGGATCAAATGAGATAATATCTATAAAGCACTTAGCATAGTGCCTGGCATTTATTAGGTGTGATACAAATCCTTATTCTCTTCCCATTTCCTTAATATTTTTCTTCGACAATACTCAATTTTGCAAATCATGGCCCAAGTCCTAACCAATACAGATCTCCTTATTTACAGATGGTGCAAACCACCAACCCAGTAGCAAAAAACTTTTAAGATGTAAAAATAAAGTTTTTATTTAAAAACTTAAATAAAAGAGGGAGTAACAAGAAAGAATATTCTCATTCTATGACCTCCTTTGCGAATGGGTTCACCTCAAAGAGGCTTCAGGGAGAATATAATCTAATATCTATTTAATCCTCCAGGCATACCAGGGGAGTAAGCTATTTGCCTTCTGGCTTCAACCATAGCCTATAATTGGTACCTATCCATTTCTGCTCATTCTGTTGTTGCTTCTGAAAGTCCCACTTCTTTTTTAAACTTCTATAATTAATCCAAGCTGTTCACCTTTCTCTTTTCTTCTTTTTCCCAAATGTGTCCCACTTGATGCCATTCCCAGGTGAAAGGCCAAGCATCATGGGATTTTAGCTACGAGAATGTTCCCCAGTAAATGTCAGCTTCCTTGACTTGGCCCCAATAAGTACCTGAAGCACTGGAGAGTTCCATTAAGGGTGCTGACAAATCTCTGTTGCAGTGATATGAATGAAAGCATGGTATTCTGATTGAGGGAAGAAATAGTCCCAATGTCCTCTCCCCTCATTAGTCCATGCCCTGGATTGTTTTGTCCAATTCTAGACAATACATCTGAGGAGGGAATAACAAGCCAGGGTATACATCCAGAGGAGAGTAGACAGGGTAGTGGAGACTTGAAACTATGGTATATGAGGATATGTTGAAGGAACTGGGAATGTTTAAAGTGGAGATTATTTTCATTGTTTCAGAGGCTATCATGGGAAAGAGAGAAGACTTGTTTTTCTCAAGTTTGGGCTCAGAGGGCAG